GACATCACCTTAGCAGTTCTCCTTAGGTCCTGGTTTGGCGAATAAAAAAAGCCCAGGCACACCAAATGTTTTCTCGATTAGGCAGACTTTATTCATGAACATTGCAAAACAATGTTTCAGCCCTCAAGTGGTCTTGTTAAGACAAACTTTCCAGTGTGAGTTGGGGGGCTTTGTGCGTTTTGTGCATTTCTCACAGTTTGTACAAATAGAGAATAAACCTTGTGATATTTAGTAACAATCATTTGAAAAGAAGCTTAGGATCGCTAAAATTGCAAAACTGTTAGAAATTAAAATAAAATAAAGCAGTTTACTCGCATGTATTTAAAATGATGTAATCGGCAGTAATGACAATGTAATTAAATGCTGGCAGTTATCGGTCATGTACAGTCTGTTCCACATTGGTGAGAAATATCAGTCTGCTGTCAGTCTTGTCATCATGTGAGTATTGTACTATGGGGGAATCTAACTGCTAGTCAAGCATATATGGTAAGTAAAGGTCAGACATACAGGATGTCATTCTTCATCTTCACCAGATACAAGATTTTCTGCATTTTTGAGCAACGGAAGCCTGCAGGGGTAAAACAATCCTAAACAGAGCTTATTACTGGCTATTATTGTTTTTACAAAAATTAATTTAAACAAAGTGAGTATTCATTCAAAATTAGTATTGATGTTGTCTTTAAAGATCTTCAATATATTCCCCAACATTTATAGTTAATGATTTAAAAAAAATGTTTTGTCATTTATTTAAAATTTTATTAAAATATGCTGTCATTTGAAATTAAAGCACTGGCTGTATAGATACAGCTGGTGCAAGAAATTAAAGGTAGGCAGAAGTAGTGATAAAGGTATAGCAACTTGGCTCAAGTAGACTCAAATTGAGATTATTACACAATTGGCAGAATTGGCAAGTGTCAAACTAATATATGTGGTAGTGGTACCAGAGAACACCAGTGACGCATTTCACTAAATTCTAGATGATTGGTCCATGTAAAAAAAGTATACAATTTACCAGAGTAGAAATTTAGGATAGAGTGCTTGTTAGGTATCCTTATAAGGAGAAAATACCAGTGGAATTCTATGAGTTTGGGGACTTTTCTCATGTGTTCCAAGACAGACTGGACACCTGAGACAAAATATGAGGCCTGGATTCAGAGACTGTTGGCAACAATGTGCTTCTCTGGTAAAATTGTAGACTTATAAAACAAGGTATACAGCAAATCTCCGTAAACTAGATATTAAAAACTTATTAAAAACAATTAAGGTGCGCTGTGTCTTCAAGACGTGTCTTCAATAAAATGATACAAAATCTTTGTATAAATATAACGCTAAAAGTGCTTATGCCATAAACATAAAGTGCAATAATAATTGTGCAGCTGTGCAATAGGTAAATCACAATAAAGTGCTACAGTGCAATAAATAAATCACAAAGTGCTACTATTTCTGTGCAAAGAAACAGTGTAAAGTGCCACATTTCACTTACACACAGTATAAATTGGTAGGAGTTGACTCTACATTAAGGATGAACATGTAAAGAAAAGATATAGACAAACTCATAGGGCAATATTGCAAAATACGCTTAAAGGACCACTATAGTGCCAGGAAAACATACTCGTTTTCCTGGCACTATAGTGCCCTGAGGGTGCCCCCACCCTCAGGGTCCCCCTCCTGCCCGGCTCTGGAAGGGGGAAAGGGGTAAAAACGTACCTTTTTCCAGCGCTGGGCGGGGAGCTCTCTGCCTCCTCTCCTCCTCCGATCCGCCCCGTCGGTTGAATGCGCACGCGCGGCAAGAGCTGCGCGCGCATTCAGCCGGTCGCATAGGAAAGCATTCATAATGCTTTCCTATGGACGCTTGCGTGCTCTCACTGTGATTTTCACAGTGAGAATCACGCAAGCGCCTCTAGGGGCTGTCAATGAGACAGCCACTAGAGGATTTGGAGGAAGGCTTAACCCATTGATAAACATAGCAGTTTAAGCTGAAGTGGTCTGGGTGCCTAGAGTGGTCCTTTAAGGAGATATTCAGGCTTCAAAAGGAACACTCAGAAGTGTAGAGCAGAGGAGCCTCCTCTAACTGTAACAGCTTCAGAATATATCACTATGGACTCCGCTGTGGTAAGAATCCACTCTTTATTGAACACATTAGAAACAGCAGTAACTTGAAGAATATGCTGATAGCCTCTCACCCCTCTTATAGAGTTCTCTACCAAGATTTCACCACTGTCGGCTGTGGGAAATAGGTTGCTGAGACTCCGATAGCTCCCAGGGGCGTGCGTATGACATCAGGGCGCGATGATGCGTTTCGCCGGTATGACGGCTTCCCCAGATCTGCCCTTACTTTCCCACAGTCAATATATAAGTCCATAAAATAGGCGTGGATCGTCCAATCAATCCCAATTGGAAGATGTCCATAAGAAAAGCTCAATAGTTCATTAATGCTCATAGGTTGAGGCTATGTGCCTTATACCTATTCATGAGTCCCAAAAGCCTTATTATCACATTGAAAGGGAAAAGGGGTATATCACCTAAATGTCTAAAAAAAATACATTGCATTATGCTCCAACTTACAGACAAATGTGCATATAAATGTAAAAATATTGGGGGGAAAACTCATATAAAAGAAAAAAGGAAGACAATATTAAAAGAAATTCTGCTCAATCAGCATACAAACCATTTGCATGTAAATATGAATATTAAATCTTGAAATTGTTAAAAAAAAAAAAATTTACCTACTACAAGGAAAAAAAAACCCATGTAAGTACAAAAAAATAACTAACAATATTAATCATCCAAAATATAGAACAAGACACAAACTCTATTGTATAATATATGTAATGCTATTATGGTTGCAAACACCAAAATAAGGTAAGACCTAATAGTCCGAATATAAAATCCCACTATTAATATATTTTCAAAATATGAAATTATAAATAATGTGTATCTAAAATTAATAAAATGAAAGAAAAATTAAAAAGCTCAAACTCAATGTTCAAACCTTGAGGTACCAAGGTTTTTAATCTATGTATCCACTTCATTTCTTCCCTACCAATTTTTAACACATGGTTTCCCCCGTGTATGGTTTACTCATTATTTGTATCTCAAAAACAGTGATCCCTGTAGGGTCCATATTATGGTGGTCTTTGAAGTGTGCTGAAACACTATGCTGTGTATACCCTTTTTTGAAATATTATTTACATGCTCGCTAATTCTACTATGTAATAATATGGCGAATCGTGCGGTCTACGTACTGTAAGCCACATGGGCATATTAACAAATACACAACATTTCTGGTAAAACATGTAATAAAATCATTAATAGTCTTTCTCACTATATTTAGTCTTAAATTTATTTATACCTTTTAGGGTACTATTCTTACTAACCCTGCAACCTTTACATTTATTACATGAATAAAAACCTTTTTTATAATTTAAAAAAAGTCTCGTAATTTAATTTTTAGGATGATTATAGGTTAAAATCCAATTCAAATTTGGGGCTCCCCTAAAAGTGATAAATGTTTTTTCCGGAATAATTGTAGCTAGTTCCCTATCTTTTTTTTAAAAGATACCAATGCTTATTAATGGCTTTTATATTACTGTGTGACCCGTTAAAATCAAATACTAGAGGTACTTTTTCTGAATTATCCTTTTTACTGCTCTTATTATATTAAATTTTTATAAGGTCATCTTGATCAGTCTCTAACATTTCATTATAAGCTTTATCAGTTAATTGTTTAGGATACTTCTTGTCCGAGAACAATTCTATTAAAATAGGTGCCTGTTCTTTATGAACAGTATGAAGTATGAACACTTCTGTATCTGTACAATTCCTCCTTATGCGTTGCATCTGGCCCTTTGAAATATTTTTGAGCCATGGCGTATCGTGCCCGCTGTTGTACAGTACATAATTGTTCGCATCCACTGTTTTAAAAAAATTTTTTTTTGTTTTTATCTCTCTATTCTCTATAAAGATTTCCAGATCCAAATATTCTTTACTGGTAGTACTTTATTTATTACTGAGATTTATACCCCAATTCTTATAATTAAGGTTATCTAAAACGATTCTAAGATCAGGCTTAGACCCTTTCCAAATAAAAATCAAATCGTTAATGTACCTGTGATAAAGGACCAAGTTCGCCCCCCACTGCACACTGTCATAAATATAAGTAGTCTCCCACTCTGACATTTGCATAGCTAGGAGCGAACTTGGCCCCCATCGCATTAACCTGGCACTCTAAAAAATAACTAGAGTTAAAAAGAAAATTAGTTAAAATCCAATTGATACAATCTATTGAATTAATACGTTCCATAGTGAACTTCCCTGATTTGATGAGGCATTATCGTACTGCATTGCAACCAGACTGATGGGGAATTGACGTATAAAGGTATGATACATCACTAGTGACCAATATATAGTCTTCATCCCACTTGGTATTCCTCAGTGTTCTAATTATGTCTGTCTTGTTTTACATATGATGGCATTAGTTTTACAAGATCTTGCAGATGAACATCTACATATTTAGACAAATTCACTTATATTGAACCAATGCCTGACACGATAGGCCTTCCTGGGGGATTCTTTAAATCCTTAGGTAGGGTATAGAATGTAGGTATACAAGGGTACTCATTATCATTTAGTATACCCTCATCCTTACCCCTTTCCAAAAGCTCATAGGGAGATTGCTGTACATTGGAAGTAGGGTCACCATCCAACTGTACATACACATCCTTATCGTTTAACTGTCGGTAGCATTCCCCCAAGTAATCCTTGGTATTTTGAATAGCAATGCTACCCCCTTTATCCACAGGCTTAATCAATATTTCCCTGTTTTTCCTAAGCTCTTCTAGGGCTTTATTTTCATTAAAACTAAGATTAAAAATCTTCTTCTTATTCTTTGTATCCAATACCTCTAGATCATCTATTAACACAATGGCCCCATCAAAACAACTTAAAATAACAGATCCCGTGTGCTAGACTAAAAAAGACCATCTTCGTATTAATTCAAGATGGCGAAGATGGCGTGCACTCACCAGCATCAGAAGGGCTGTCGGAGACAGAGCACCCTCAGTTCTCACCAGAGGATGTCCCGGTCACGGATAGAAGCATTTAAATTATGCTCCAAGACCTTAAATCACAAGCAGACATTACATTACAAGCAGACTTCCAGAAACTGGCAAGAGACCTCAGCAGAGAAATTTCCGATCCCGGGGGCTGGAAGAGTCATCTTGAACACAAGTCGGAAGAGCTGTGCGCAGCTCATAATTCAGCTGCTGACAAGATCCAACAATTGGAAGAAGAACAAGCTATTCTGCGGCACAAACTTGCAGATATAGAAGATCGTTCCATGCGTAACAACCTGCGATTTTGAGGTATTGCGGACTCTATTACTATTGAGGATCTCCCCACCTACCTCAAGAACTTGTAAAAAACCAAGTTTCCACATTTGGTTGACATGACTTGGGCCTTTGATCGGGTGCACCGTCTGCCGTTACCGCAGCGCTTTACAAACGACACCCTAAAAGATGCCATAGCTTGTTTCCACTACTTTACATTTAAAGACTCCTTGCTCACAGCTGCAAGGAAGCTCACCTTGCTACCAGAGCCTTACCAGCATATCTCCATCTTTGCGGATTTATCGGCGACTACAATAGTGAGAAAACGGGAGTTCATCACCATCACAAAGACTCTCCGGAACAATAACATCTCATATCGTTGGGGATACCCAACAAAATTGCTTGTCTGCCCGGGAGGTAGAATGATACCGATCCTAGAACCGGAGGTGGGCATGGCCAAGTTGAAGGAATGGGACCTTTTTCGGGTCGTGGACTCAGCCTCCCCTCCGCGGTCCTCACCATCCAAAATCAGGCCAGAGTGGCACACGGCTGGCTCCCCGGTACACTAGACATTTCCTGAATTTTATTAAGTGGGCCCATTCAAGCAAACAGACTGGTGTGGTCTTGGACTTAGAAGGCGAAAAGGCGTTTGATTGCTTGAATTGGAGATAAATGAAAACCACACTGCTGAAAATGGGGTTCTTGCACTCATTTCTTAATAGCATAATGGCAGTATATATAGCCCCCATGGCAAGAGTATTCAACTCCAGGTTCCTATCCAAACCCTTCACAATTTCTAATGGCACGCACCAGGGTTGCCCTCTCTCCCCTTTAATTTTCATTCTATGTTTAGAGCCTCTTGTCACCGGTCTCAACACACCAATAGGAGAACAGCGAATTACACTTTTTGCAGATTACATCCTCCTGTTCTTGACACATCCGGAACAAGCTACACCGAACCTTCTAGCACTGCTGGAACAGTACGACCGAGTTTCCTTCTATAAAAACAACGCAAACAAGACACAAGTACTAGCAATAGGAGTCCCACATAACACCTTAATGAACCTAAAACACTCCTATCCATTTGATTGGAGAAAATCTTACCTTAAATACCTGTGCATAAATCTGACTAAATCCCATCAACACTTATTGCAGGAGAATCATATCCCACTTGTGTATAAACTCAAATCCCAACTGGAAAATTGGAAAGACAAAGAAATTTCCTGGCTGGGTCGAATCAATACGATCAAAATGATGTCTCTCCCACATGTGTTGTACCCATGGGTGTCCGCATGAATTTTTCCAGGTGGGGGGCATAATTGTAATGACATCCATGCTTGGTCCCTTTTTGACAGTGTCATTAAAGGGAAGGGGCATAGCCATTATCACATAAAGCCAGGGTGAATAGCGTTTTCACAACTATCGTGTCAGGAATATATGTTTGTATTCCTGACACTATAGTCTTCCTTTAAGCAAATTAAAGGACCATTCTGGTCACCATAACAACTTCACCTAAATGAAAATGCTATGATGCCAGGAAGCCCCTGGGTGCTCGCTTTCCTTTAAGGGGTTAAATCACTCTCAAATGGTTTAACCCCAAAGGCTTCCTCCAGCTCCAGGTCGCTCAGTGGTATTTGGCTTCTGAAACAGAGTGTCAGGAAGTGCAGATTGACGTCAGGCATGGGTGCCGCTGATTGGCTAGAGTGGACAGTTGACGCTCTAAGCCAATCGCTAGTTCCCGGTTCATAAAATATTTTTACTTTTTTATGAATGGGGAGCTACTGATTGGCTTAGAGTGCCAGCTGACCGCTCTAGCCAATCAGCAACACCCCTACCCAATGGCACTCTGTGCTTCCTGACACTCAGTAAATAAAAGTGAACACATTAATACTGATATTTTTTTACCTTTGGAGATGAGAAGGTCCAGCGTTTCCCTGCCTGGCCCAGGTACCAAAGCCTTATGATGTGGTGTCCAGAATAAAGTGGAGGGTTCACTGCATTTGTCCTTCCTGCTCCAATCTCCTTTTCCTCTCCTACATTTGACAGTCTTTTTTTTATCTTCTGACACTGTTTTCTATCCTTGGCCCCTTCTGCTCTTTTACCTTTCTGCTACTTTCTGCTTATTTTGCACCCTTCTGCTTCTTTCTCATTCTGATCCCTTTCTGCTCCTTGCAGACCCTTTCTGCTCCCTTTTCTACTTTATCTTTGTGCTCCTTGCTGTCCCTTTCTGCTCCTTCTCCTACTTTACCTTTGTGCTCCTTCTGATTCTTTCTGCTCCTTTACCTTTGTGCTCCTTCCTGCTCCTTGCAGGCCCTTCCTGCTCTTTGCAGGCCCTTCCTGCTCTTTGCAGGCCCTTCCTGCTCATTCTCCTATTTTACCTTTGTGCTCCTTCTGCCCCTTCCAGCTCATTTCTGACCCTTTCTGCTCCTTCTACTTTACCTTTGTGCTGCTTTACCTTCCAGCTCCTTGCTGACCCTTCCTGTTCATTTCTGTTCCTTTCTGCTCCTTCTCCTACTTTACCTTTTGTGCTCCTTGCTGTCCCTTCCAGCTCCTTGCTGCCCCTTTCTGCTCCTTGATGTCCCTTTCTGCTCATTTCTGTTCCTTCTCCATTTCTTACTTCACCTTCCTGCTCCTTGCTGACTCGTCATGTAGGCTGTCTCCCCCATCCCTCACTTCCATAGGCGTGCGCACGGGGTGTGTCGGGTGTGCATGGGCACACCCTAATCCCCGCGGCATGCCAATGGATTGAGGCCGGCATCCAAGCCGACGCTATCCAAGCGGCGGCTCCAGTCTAAGCCTCCATGGGCCGGTGGGGAGATCAAAGTTCTACCTCACCGGTCCACAGCAGCATGGAGGGAGGCATCAAAGAACCCGGGCTAGAGTTCACTCTCCACTGAACCACCAGGGAAGGCAGCAGGACTGGGATATTAACTAATCTGCCCCCACCTCCACCCAAACATACAGCACACACACAGCACCTACACACAGCACACACAGCCCACAAACAGCACCCACACACATACATCACCCTCGCTCACACAGCACCCACACACACCCAGCACATTAACGGCATCCTCACAAACACACAAAACCCACACACAAACAGCACCCTCACACACAAACAGCACCCTGACAAACACACAACACACACACAGCACACAAACAGCACACTAACAGGACCCAAACAAACACGCACACACACACACACACACACACAGCACACTACCAGTTCCCACACAAACAGCACCCTCACACACAGCACACTAACAGCACTCTCACAAACACACACAAAAACACCCTCACCCACATAGCACATTGCCAGTATATATATATATATATATATATATATATACACACACACATGCATATACATATACACACACATACATATACATATACACATGGCGTGTGTTTGTGCTTTAGGGTGCACACCCTAATGCAATAGGCTGCGCACGTCTATGCTCACTCCCCTAATCTATAGGCTTCCCCCCCCCAGCCTCACTCTCCTAATCTACAGGCTGCTGCCCCCCCCAGCCTCACTCTCCTAATCTACAGGATGTGCCCCCCTCACTCTCCTAATCTACAGGCTGCTGCCCCCAAATCTATAGTCTACTTTAAATCTATAGGCTGCCTGGCTGCTGCCCCACCCCCAAGTCTATAGGCTATCTCAACCCCTCCCCCCATCCCTCAGTCCCCTGATCTGTAGGCTGTCTCTGGCTGCATGTTTTGTTCCCCTGCGGTTTCAATCAGCAGAGAGAAGCAGGGATAAGATGCAGCTTCCTATCCCTGTCTCTCTCTATACACAATACCGCGCCGGTATTGCAGTTCATTTTCAATCACACGAAAAATAGCAGAACAAGCTGAAAAATCCAGGGGGGGGCAAGTGCCCCCTCTTGCCCCCCCCCTGCGGACGCCCATGGTTGTACCTCTTTCGCACCATCCCCATACTGGTGCCCAACAAGATACTACACAAATTACAAACCACATTCAATGCCTACATCTGGAAAAAAACAAAACACCCAGAGTAGTCGTTTGTCCTGGTTGCTGACGTACAAAGGGGGCCTTTTTATACCAGACGTTAAGACGTACTACAGAGCCTCAATTTTGTTGTGCGGTATTTCAGTGATTACACAGCCGACTACGCCATTGTGGCTTCCCTTGGAAGACGCTTGCATGCAACCCAGACAACTCCAACACTTGCTTTGGGTGACAACCACACCACATAGTTCCACAGATACCATTCTAACAAATACAAAACACAAGTGGAAACAATGTTCCAGAGGATTGATGGGCAGGATTAGCCTGGTTCTAGAGCTCCTATACAGTCCCTCACATCTTTCCCAGGATATTTCGATAACTAGTTGGATTAAGGGGGGAGCAAACACATTGGGGATTAAACCCTTCCAATCCATGCAAGAAGAATTTGCTCTCCCTTTGAGGGAATTATTCACCTGTCTCAGGGTAAAACATATTTTAACAAACATTAACAAATACAGAATGGGGTCGATGACCAGCTGACACCATTTGGCCGATGCTGTACGGACAAAATACTACCCACTAAACTCCTCTTGCTGTGCTATGATGCACTTATAAAGGCAGAAACCATGAATAAATTACCATATATGACCAAGTGGAAAGTAGACCTGTATGGCTTGTTTCCCATCCCTATATGGCTACAAGCTATACAGACTACTAAGGCTTTACCAAACAACCTATCTCACTGGGAATCATATAGCAAGTTTCTGATGAGGTGGTACTGGGTCCCCACCAGATTAACCAGAATATACCCAGGTGCGTCCCCAGCTTGCTGGAGATGCGATCACCCATCCGGCACACTGAAACATATTTTGGGATAACATACCTATTCATGAGTCCCAAAAGCCTTATTATCACATCGAAAGAAAAAAAGGGGTATATCACCTAAATGTCTAATATTATACATTGTATCGTGCTCCATTGTATCATGCTCCAACACTTTCAGCGTTATATTTACACAAAGA